CGGGGTGGGATTTCATTCTCATCGTATTCTGTTCCGTAAGTTAGGACGCGTCTCATCTTGCCATATGGATTCATACACAAATGTGGATGCTGATGTCGATTGCTATTCTGCTGTGAACTACAGTTTTCTTAGATATCATAGCTTCGATTCGAGAATGTAGCATTTTAATTCAAAATGTCCAAAGCATAATGCCTTGTCGAAAAAAGATTCATAGTATTCTTTCAATACTTTTCATAAAGCTAACGTAGTCTCGTCGTTGCCTTCGGCCTGCTTTTTCCTAAATTTTAACGACTATTAGATAAGTCGCGTTTCGTAAGACAAGTTACGTAAAAACATTCTCATAAGTTAAATAAAGAAAACTATTCTTGTTTGAATATTCCCCCACAGTGATTGAATAACAATGAAAAGCAATCACCTGTTCACAAAGTTTTACGTTTAAAAAAACATGTTATCGTTCGCGTAAGAACGAAACACTTCGTTTAAGGTTATATTAAGGTTACACTATGATTGATAAACAACTTTTACCAAAATATGGATCAAACGGCCGAGCCACAAGGTTACGAAACCTACATTTCACCAGTATTCCATTGTGCCACAGTATCCGTGACACCGATCTGCCCGTCGGAACAGTTGCACATGATCACTCAACTCGCGCCCGGCTACCTTATCCTTTTTGGTTTTCCTATTTCTTTCCTTTTGCTTTATCGTCGGAATAACGTCGGAAGGCCGAGTTTATCGCAACTTGCTCGGACTCCTTGGAATTTAGAGATTGGCTCGCTTGAACGTCGACATCGTATGATAGTCGTCGGTATCGACGCGGCGCCAGTCACACGACAACAGACATTCATCGCCTCCAGGGTCAAGATGATGACAGCTGCCCCTCGACTACGATCGTCGATAACTGCACGCACTTCAGGGCAATCGTGAATGCGAGCAACATCGGACTGCATGCGACTACAATTGCGCGAGTGTGCACACTTCGGCCTCAGCACAAACACCATTTTTATTTCTTGCAGCTTGATTTTAATATATATATATATCGCTGTTGAGGTTAATCATTTAGTTAATGGGAATGCATCGCTGATTGCACATTCGAGCATCAAAGTCATTGAATATCCGCCGAATGTAGGGTTAATTCTTAAAATAGGATAGAGATTTCATAATTGGTTACAAAATTCGTTGAGCTGAAATTTTGAATATAGGAACAAAAGGCTGCATTATTATATTAAGATATTTAACGATAATAATAATTCGTCGAAGCTAATGATGGAATGTTATCGGAGGTGCCATCTACGAAATAACTGTCTAATCGATATTGTTTTAATTCAATACTGCTATTCCGAATAATGGCAAGAATAATAATAATAATGACCCATTAAGGACAATTTGCCTGCGAAATGAATGTATTTCAGTCTTAAAACTCTCTTTCAGATTTAGAGAAGAAAAAATTTCATTTTAAGTATATATCATAAAATTCAAATTCCAAAACTTATTTATTGACATTGAAAGTCCAAATTATATGTACTTATTTTGTAGGAGAAACGTTTTATTATCGTATTAAGGCATCGTGTCTATAATTTTCATGCTGATTATTAATAAAAAAAACAATAATGTTTGTTACTGTCAATGGAGATAATTCTTAAAATATGAAGAAAAACACTAAAAATAGTAAAACAGTGCTGCGATGGTATTTCTTCGTTAAAATTAAACGATTGCTGATAATTTATACTGTAAAAAAAAATCCTTTATAGATTTGTCCTAATCAGCTCCACAACTGTCTCGCTAATTTTAATTTAGAAAATGGACTCAATCTTAATATCTGATGATTCGTCATTCTTATTAATATTGATGCATTGAATAGTCAGTGGCCTTCAACGTTGAGCTTTCGTTGATTGTACATTATTCCATTGAAATAATTTTTAAATAAGTTATTTTATAATTTAAAATACCAATTCAAAAATTACGAAACTTGAAACTTGTATAAAAAATATGTATATTCAAAGAATATGTGTGATATTATGAATATTCTCCCATAAAATAAATAGCTCAAGACAAAAAAAAAATAATAATAATAATAATTATCATTATTATCTGTAAAGAAATAAAAATGAAAATAATCCAATTAATAGATAATGTGAGTTGTTAACTTAAGAAATTGAACAAACTAACATATTTTCTATATTTTTAACAAAATACCAATTGATGCAATCCGTAGTAAAAACAACTAACTCGAGATCAGAGGCGGAAATACAGGTTCATTTTATCGTACGATGAGAGGTAGACAAAAAGGTATTTCCTCACCCTCTCCCTCTTCCTCTTTCCAGCACTCCTTCCCCCTTCCCCCTCCCTGCGTGCTCAATTTCTTTCTTTATTTTTTATGCTGCTAACTCTCTTCCATTCCGTTCTCGTCTGTCGGCTTTCTCTACATAGCTCGAGTTATTTCGGAATTCCACAGAGTTTCTGAAGCTCTCTTCGCTCTTGCTGTGTGAAAAATGATATCCCTCAAATTGTTTAAGTAATGGCATCATTAATCATAGATTTTTCAAATCTATTACTTATGAGGCAATGACTTTTGTTTAAATTAATACTTGATGCAGGAGATTTGAAATAATTTCAATCCCGATGAAATCTATCCCAATGATGTGAAGCAAAACTCTTCATCAAATCTAGGTTTCTGCCGATTTTTCATAAACTTATCCGAATCGCATAAAAAATTAATTATTCTAGCTAGAAAATTATTATACAAATTTCGTTACTTATAGTACGCGAATAAAAATTAATTTTATTAATAGATACTACAAATGTAAAATCCATATTCAATTTCTTTTTGAAAAAGCAAGTTTAATTACTGCATGAAAGACTAGAAAATCTATGCGTGTATTTGGATTCTTTTGTATGTGTGTGTCCTTACACGTGCACGTACATATTACAACAATAATAATAAGGTAATAATAATAAGAAATTGCATTAAAATTTTTAATATATTTATCACTTATATTTAAAATTATCACCTAATAGCATTATTAAATCACCCTAGTAAATATCTTAAATCTAATAATTGCAAACAAAACAAAAAATGTGTAATTAAATGTGCATCCAGTGACCTAACTTGTACAAATTCGTTTATCAATACAAGCGGAGCCCCCGTCAACGAGTCAAAATTACACGAAATATGTTAGGCGCAATATACCCGCAAGAGTCATCCTAAAGAGATACACAGAGAAAAAGGCGGTCTATCGACTCTCTCTCTCTCGCTCTCTCGCTCTCCCTTTCTCTTCCCATCTCTCTTATTCTTCATTTTTTTCTTTTCACTTATTATTATCACTCTTTCTGCTTTCGTCATACCATCTTCCCAAATGTGCCTGCTGCACACTGTGAAATGAACTGACCCCCTCCCCCTTTCTCTTTCTCCTCCCCATCGTCGCCCATCGTATTATGCGAGTCATTATGATGAGTTAAGCGATCTCGCCCTCTTTCGGCCTTTTTCCTTCTATCTCTCTTAGATCTATAGGCACACATAGATGTAGATATGCGCTTGCACGCGCGCGAGTGAGCAAGCGAGCATCTTTAAATATAAGCTTAAAGAGTGTGATAGAGAGAGAGAGGGGGGGGGGGACAGAGAGACAGAGATAGAAAGACAGACAGAGAGAGAGTGAGAGAGAGAGAGAGAGTGAGAGAGTGAGAGATTGAGAGTAAGAGCGAGAGGGGAGGCCAAATAAGAGAAGTCGAACGGAGTGAGTTAGTGGTTATAATCACGTTAGACTAATCGCTGCTGTAGGGGGTTGTTTAGCCTCAGCTATGCGTCGTGAAGATGAAAGGGATGAGAGGGCGCTAAAACGTCCTATTAACGGCCAATTGGCCGTGCGCGCACCCGAGTCCATGATCTGTACCTTGGCCTCCCGCGCCCATCAAAGGCATCCTTTTTCACCTTTCGCTTCGTCTCGTTCTTTTTCTCTTGCAGGGCCGGCTTTCGCCTGTCCCGACGATCCGCCGGCCACACGCTCCAACAGAAAAATGCGGTGAAGGAATTGTATTCCTCATTTTTTGTTTGGAAATTCAGGGCGCTGATTAATCGAGAGGTGCTTAAATTGATAGATATTATTTTTTATCCGTTTTGGTATGTAATTCGTTTGAATTTTTTTGAAATGCTAAGCTCTCGTATAAACTATCTTTTTCGAGCATAACTTTTCACAAAACATTAGCCTTCCTTCGATATCGAATAATTGCGAAGTGTCTGTTTAAACTATTTTTTAATTTGTATTTCAAATTAGTGGTCCATTCGTCCCGTTTACTCAACTTTACGCCTTTATCCTAATCACATTGTTATTCGTGAGCTAATTTATCGTTTAATTTTCTAATGAATTTTGGTTATTAAATTTATTTTCAGTCTATTTATGCCATAATATTGCAAGGAACCCCAGTTGATCGGCATGAGAGTGTGCAGCATTATCAGTAATGATATTCCTTTTTTCGAGATATTGTAATGTACATGTAAATGTTGATTTGTATGGACTTCTGCAGCAGTTGATAAGTTTATTCTTATAGCGAGTGTAACGATCCCTATTTCATTTCTATTCTATTGACTTTTTCGTATCCTTTAAGATAATGCTTATATTCAAATTTGTTTAGGAAAAAATGGGAGCGGATTGCATGGAAATTATATGTTTACGTATCACACTTTTTACTTGTCGTAACAACTGAACTGTTGAATTGATGCAATTTTTTTTTGTTTAACGTTAGACATATTATAAATATTAATTATCTCTAATTTAATTTGTTATAATAGTAATCATAAGATGCTTATTGCTTATTATTTTATTGCTTTTACGCTGTTAATAATACATGTGGATTAATTGGTTAATTATGTTGCGTCATTGCATGCTACTCTATGATACAAAAAATTATTATCGCTTTTAATTTACTGCATGATCATTTTATGAACAATTTTAGTAATAAATCATTATCGAACCTCTTTACTTACGATACCCTTCTTTTTTCAGATTCTTTAAAATAATAGAACAGTTTTCAGAGGAAAGTGGGCCTGGTGAGTTGAATAAAACGATTGATTTATATTTTATCTCTCTTTTTATATTAACACTTATGACATTTATTTTTTAACGAATATTACCAAACGATCAAGCATTTTTGTTATCAGACGTGAAAAATGATATGTATTGAATTGATTTTAATGTGTAAATGTTTCCATTGTATAAACTAATCAATGATTCTAAATCTCTAGTCCATACACGCCATTTAATACAAAAATTTGAAATTTTCATGTCGTCTTCCCATAACTTCGTACTAATTTAACAATAATCGATTGTATAGACTGTAAATTGGACTAAATATCTCTTTTTTTTTCTCCAATCCTATCACTTTTCCTTAAGCGCTAAATCGATTGATCATCAAAATAAAATGAATCTCAACCTATCGTCAATCATTCTTAACACTACTTCGCACATTTCTGACGCTCCATTCCATCATTAATTCCTTCTGTATTTGTTACTACCTTCGCCATGATTGACGAGAATAACAACATTTAATTACCTCGCAAAGAAATTCAGTGTAGTAAGTAAAGATTGCCGTACAGGACGTAGCTTACAACAAGCAACAATTTTACTTCTGTCAAAAAGAGCTCATCTAGTTAGTAGTTAGTTATTGACAACATGAATAAAATTTTTTTTACATAAAACTTTACGGATAAAGCAGGTATTTTTCTAGCTGATTTTAATAAGAATTAAAAATTTTATAATCGAACTGACAAATTTATTTGGACTTCATCTTATCCTAAGCAATATGAAAAATTCAAACGCTTAATTGTCTAGTGTAAAAATAAAGTATTTCTAGAAAGAATTGAAATCATCTGAAATTCTTAATGTAAACCATCCTATGTTTTTAATAATTACACTATAGTGCACATTCTAAATAAATGGAATTAATATTTTTATAAGTAGCTCTCTCGCTAATGAATACTCGTATCACTTTCGTACTTTAACGCCCTAAAACTTGGTTCAATCTTGGCGTACTTGTAAGAGAACACTCTGTCACCTGATTCTGTTACCGTAAAATAAAACTTCTGTGTACGCAAGAACGGAAAAAAGAATTCATTAACTTTACATTTTTATAGTCCGTCCTAAAACACATAAAAAAAGCTTTCTCCGTCCATAACGCGGAAAAATCAATAACAAACAAATACCAAACGCTCGGAGATAGCGACCGGGCTTTTAAAACACCAATAAACCATGTCCGACTAAATTAACTTTCCTTGGACTTCTACTCTCCTTCGTTTCAATTTTCCTCCATAATCATGCGTGCCCACTAAATATGCATATGTCATTACGAACACATGAAAAACCGGCCTGAACGTCCACAATGAATTACATTCCTAGGCTTACCGCTAAGAAAGGCTCATGACACTTAATGCTTATCGACACCCTAAAGACGATGACTCTCGATGTTTATACCGATACGGCATTCCGCAATTATTGTTCCAGTCGATCTCATGACATCTTTCGCACTACAACCAACCAGTATGACTTTCGAACCTGCCTTTCTTCATCAAGTATAACTGAACTTTTTTTTTTTTTTTTTTTTTTTGTAACGAGAGCTTCATTAAATTTTACACAAACGTCGATAATTGCTCGTTGCAAGGTCAAACTTTGATACTTAAAAAAGAAAGTTGCTTCAATAACACTGAGAAATAAGCCTACAGTTTATTTTTGATGTTTGGAGATTTTCGTGTCAAAGGTTAATACAGTCGATCGTATTCATTTGATCGAAAAATTGAAGAAAGAGATCGAATTACTGTACCATTACATTTCTTATAAGTATACACTTACTGCATGTACTTTCTATTTGTATTTACTATTTCTGAAATTACTAAAAATATAATTATTATGCAAAAAATAAAATCTAATACCATTTCGCTTAAAACTAATCGAATTATTATTGAATATACTGTTGCTTTATATTTTTATTTCTTAGGAGAAATTAAATGTGAAAATATTAAAGAGTATAAAGCATAAGTATTTGTCTAATCGTTGATTATTATTAACATTTTCTAGATGCCTATGGCTCATATAATCAAACGTCATTTCATTTATCATTTAGGAAATTACCGTAAAAATTCCAATCCATCCGTGTCTTTGAAATATTTTAGTAATATTGAATATATTTTAGTGACAATATTACGTTGCTTAAAATCATTATTTACTCGAATATAAATTCATTGGCTTTTTCAACTGTGATTAAGAGTAGGGGGCGGGGGGAATAAGAAGAAAAAAAATTAACGAGAAATTAACGGAATTGTATTTGGCCTTAACGACGTAATCGATTACTTTACATGGATTTTCACTTTGCTTCATTTCTTAACTGAAAGCACGACTTCGCGTATCTTATTAAAAATAATCATTAAATGGCAATAATACTTTATGCAAAATAAGTATTAGCTTGCCTCGCTTATTTATTATTATATAATTCATTGACAATCGCTGTGCAATAATAGATTTTACAAGTCAAGTCACTTCGCATATATCATACACAATTCTGCAATAATATTATTGTCGATCGCCTTCGACGTACCTTCGAAACAGCTTAAAATGAGAACTCAGAAAAACGTAAATTTTCTATGAAGTTGAAAAAAAAAGAAAAAGAAGTGACGGGACGCAAGCGGGGGTGGGCAGGAAATGGCAAAAAGGAACCAAGGGGAGGACCGGAATTATGCGAACGGAAGCTTCAAGTTTTTAACGGCTCGATCGATAAAGGCAAGCCGCGTTGTGGCACAAATACGCGGTGGCGGAAAATCGGCAAAGAGCGCCGCACGACATCGTCCGAGTCATATTTTTCAGGTTTATGTACCGGGTGCAGCGCCGACGTTAACGTTCTCCCGTTTCACGTACGTACGTACATGTACGTAATTCCATAAGCGAAGTTTATATGCATGGCCGTGGCGTCATGTGTATGCGCACCGCTTACGTCGTTACCAACGACCTGATCTCTCTCTCTCTCTCTCTCTCTCTCTCTCTCTCTCTCTCTCTCTCTCTCTCTCTCTATAACCTCCCTCGCTTTGCTTTTGCATATACATATATCATATTGCCACATTAACCGTGTCGCTCCGGGATACTCGTCCCGACTACTTCTGCTCATGCGTGCGAACTTTTGTATATAACTGCATACACGAAAATTGTCTGAGGGCAGAGAGAGAAAGAAAGAGCCGGACAAAAATAAGGAGATCTTTCCTTTTATAAGTGAACGAGATGTTTTATGTTTTGACATGCCGAAGAAATTTTTATAAATAATTACGTTACGTATAACGAGTCATTTTATACGGTTGTAGGTCGCAATATTCATTAAATTACTTCAAAATCCTTTAATTATAAATTTACTGAACATTATCACCATCGGCTGAATTTTTTATACAGTTTAAATACTGTGATATGGCGATGAATAAAAATAAAAATTTGTGCAGGAAATTGGTATATAAATTACGGTTATATTAATAAATTACAATTCACCGAATGTTAGGGAAAATATTGAAAATTAAGAAACATTATTTCTTTTAGATACAGATAAAAAATAGTCCAATACTCGTACACAATTGAGCCATTATCATGAAAATTTCCGATGAATTTTTCGATACAAATAACTAGTCGATAAAAGATTTTAAAAATTTTTATTTATTCATACAATTTTACGATCAATTCCCTGTAAATCAAGCGGAGTGATTGCATCATTAAAATTAATTTCAATTATATTCCATTTCTACTTTACTTCATCATATAAAATGAAAAGATCCCATTTAAAATATATTAATGAGTTGAACAACAGTAATTTGTCCTGTTTTAAATAAATTTACCATCATAAATAATGTATATATATGCATTTTAGTTTTACACGACATATGATGCCTATGATTTTAATGATTTTCGCAATGTAGCCATCTACATAATCAACAAATTCGATAATGCGGCTCTTTATTCGTATACACCCTTTCGAGCCTAACAAAACTTACGGCTGATCGAAGAAATGCTCGAAGAAATCGACTATTAGTAATGATATTTCGTCGGCTTAGCTCATCGAACAATTTCTAAACTCCAAAAGCAAAAAATAATCGACAGCTTCTTAATAATCCATAAATCAGCGACCAACACTCGGCACGTCCCTCTGGCTAACCTACCTCCCTCGCCTTCCCGCTCGAAGGAACGCGAATGGCCCGCGCGTCTAGCCGCACAATGTACACGGCGACGGCGCCGATACTCGCGCCGACGGGGGTTGTGCGACTCGCTCGCGAGAGCAAACAGAGCAGAGGGAGAAAGATGTGCACGCACACGCGGATACGAGCGATTGACGTGGCGCAAAAGGGATAGGGGAGGGGGCAGGGGGCAGGGGGCGGTAAGAGATAACGCGGAGACAAGGAGGAATGGAAAGACGAGGGAAGAGAGGCTGCTGCCACCCGCTGCTCGCGGCATCAAGCGTCGCTCAACGGGAGCCGAAAACGCCGAACCCCACGGCGCGGCGGCGCCATCAATTAGCGCTGGGGGCAGCCTCGATTAATTCGAATTGAGCCTCGGCGCACCTCCCCTCCTTGTCCTCTTCGCGTGCACGCACATACATGCGGCAGCATTCCGCGCATAGCCGCGCATCCAAGTGGAGGGGAGAATGCCGAAGGGTAAGGCTTTCGATCGTAGCGGAGAGATCGCGATCCACTGGGCCGCTGCCTACGCTTGCTCAAGCTGCTCAATCTCGTCTTGAGACTCGGCTTCGGGTCTTCACCAAGTTGGGCATTTACTGGAACTTGACACTCCGACGACAGACTTGAGCCGATCGCCAAGCGTTCAATCACATTTGTACTCGGCGTCATCTTTTTTTTCTTTTTCCTTTTCTTTTCTTTTTTTTCTCGAACGTCCCCCGGGAGCTTGGGCGTTGATATCATACCACGAAAATGCATGGGTAAACTTGCCGATTAGCGAACTTGTAAATTGGAGGTTGTACCGTTAAATAGAGCGGTGATTTATTATCGGCGAATATTTAGCGATGAGCCAATGGCTAAACTGGCCTAATGATTCTTATTGAATGCTCCACGTGCTACTACTATACGTAAGCAAATTGGCAGCGATCTCGTCGACAATAAATAACATCGGTTTTATAAAACACTGGATTTAAATAACAGTCGCGCGATATTTTCTCTCCGTGGATGGAGCTCTATCTCCGAGAAATTAGACGGCCAAATTGAGGGCAATATTTAAGGTTTGGAGATGAATAATATCCGAATATGATTCCCACGTACAAGAATCGTCGAGCTTGCTTTGGCTATAATTCAGGCACTTTTTAGAAATTAACATAAAAAGCAATTATAGCGTGCATCTTTTAGGCAATTAAAGTGCGTTATGTATTCTTTTAAATGAAAATACGTGATTTATAGAATAAGTAATGGCCTTTAGATATAATAGGTTAGTTATTTTAAGGGGTAATGAATTTATAGATTATTTATAATAATTAATTCATTTGGCTAAAATTGCCAAATTTCTATTTCCTCATTAATATGCTTACATTTGGGTATTTCATGAATACATATATCTATGATTTCAATTTTTTTTTTTTTTTTTTCATTAGAAACAAAATACTAATAATTGTTACAGGAAATAAATAAATACGTAAATAAATGACAATTAAACATTAAAAGCAAATAGAGTAAAAGAATTCTCGTTTGTTATAATTTTCTTTTTTTATATACGGAATTATGCTTGTAAAATGGCCTTTTATAAAAAATAAAAAAAATATATATATAATGTGTAAATTAGAATTTATCTAAATACTTGAAACGTGTATACGTGGGCGATTCGAGAAAACTTTGTAAATAATTCAACTACGAACTTTCTTTCGGAATTATTTTGGCTATGTAACAATATCCGTGTATATTCACGTTCGTATGAACCACTAAGAATTTTTGTGTTATTGTAGCTTCGTTATTCTACAAAAATATATGCAATCTCAATTATCTTGTTCAAAATGTTATTGTGTTTTGTATAAAAATATGTTGATGACGAAGAGTGGAAAAGATATAAACGTAATTAACATTCTTTTTAGTTGAACTTGTTTTCACTGGATTAATTACTTCTACATCATTCAAATATGGAAAACGAAGACTGTTTGTGCCATTACCGATTAAATACACAGTAAAAAGCAAATAATAAACAAATAATTTAAATATATGTAAAAGTTTATCTGTCGATAATTTATAAACTTTTCGAACTGTCCTTGCAGTATCCTTGTTGTTTAAATGAATGTATTTAAAAAAAAAAAAAAGTTATGATAAGATTGTAGTTTCGCTACATAAATATATATATATATATATATATATGTGAGAATACTCTAGTTATAATTGAAAACTTTATGATAATGAAATTTAATTACATTTTAACAGTGGAGAGGCACATTGCGATTAATGTATTTTAGATAAGTTTGAAACTCAGTGACCTCGTCGACAGATATTTCGACTGATGCTGAAAGTGACTATTATTGACCACGAAAGCTGTACCCGATTATGTTTCATTTTAAATATTATCACATTATATTTACTCATATTTTATTTATTTATTTTTATTAATTTAATGTCTAGTGGTTGCTTTATTTATGAACATCAAAGAATAAATTATCAAATAAGTCTAGATTAAAATCTAATTATCTAATTCGTATTCTTGATAACAAGTAAACATTACTATAATAAAAAAAATTATCCAACTATTTCTTTCGGTTTTATTGATTTCCTAAGGCACAAAAAAAATTCAAATATTCTGCTTGGGAGATATGGATTTCGAATAGAAATTTTGAGTTTTTAAATTATATTAGTTATTATCGAAAGTTGGTAAATGAATTATTGATTTACTAATTATAGTGTTATTCGAATGAACCCAAATCCCTAAATTATCCAATAATCCATCTAACGAGCTACAACTTTGGAATCTCAATAAAATACAATAAACACACAAAATGCACTTCGCCGCTACATTTATTCGTATGTCCTCTTTTATGATGGATCTACTACAAATCGAAAAGTCCACTTCTACTAATACGTACGAATTGCACTTTAACGATAAGACAAATATCGAACGTTGTAAGGGCCTACCACTGATTTCTGCGAATTATACGCCCCATCGACAAATAGAACGAATGGTCGATCGTTGCAAGTTACTTTATTTTTCTTTCTCTAAAACATTCAGCACTAGCATCGCCGATCGATAGGCCAGATAGTCGGTCGTACGACTTCTAAGAAATAATCAACATGTGTTTTGCCCTTTCCACAAATTCTTCGATAGCTGCTATTGAATTCGCGCAAGCCAATATTCTTTATTGTTGGGAAACTTTCCTAGATATTCTTATAATTAAACGGTTATTGCCAAGGTAATTTTTGAGTTCGATAAATATGTGTATTAATGCGATAAAAACGTATGTGAATAAGCCAAGTCGCGAGAGTTGGTAGAATGGTAAATTATCCCCTCCCCCTGCCCCATTAACGCCAAAGAAGCATGTTAATTTAAGTAGATGTGGAATTAAGAACAATCGGTCTGTTTATCATAAATAAGTCCACTATCGTTTTGCAAATTCTCCCACATATCTTTTAATGATCTTTCTACTTGAATTTTATTAATACCTACAATGTTTGGTATTTAATACATCTACATTGATACATATTGCATAATGTATAATATCAACACAAATCTGCATAAATTCATTCGTTCTGTGAAAAAAAAGTTTTTATTGCAGTTGTACATAACTGCTAAAAGTATTATAGACATTGAATTACGTATATAAAGCAAAAAGATTATCAACAACAACAAAATTGAATGGTCAATAAATAAATCTATATATTTGTAACAATTTAGCTAATTCGTGCATTAGAGACTGAATAACTTCATGATTCAAAATTCAAACAACCGCAACCTGCGAGATTAGAAAGCAAACATATCAGCATTGCTTATTTCATTGCAAATAAATTAATAACAAAAAGTTTACGCATACATAGGTTTATTGTTTAACTTATATATTTATGAACGAAATTGCATTAGATTTTTTATGAAATATATCAACATAATAAATGTATCGATCTTATTATACGAAAAGATTAATCGCGGTTCTCTTCTTTTTGAATGTAACCCTGCATTATTTCTGTATTCGTAAAATAAAAATCTCGGGAGATCAAAAAAATTAATTGAAAAGCTATGGATCTGATTTATAGCATTCTCACTGCGATATTATAATATTCTTTAGATTAAAAACCATTCGTTTATAAATAAATATTTTCTTTTATTTTCAGATGATATAATTGGCGTTCACTGCACCCATGGTGTGAATCGAACTGGCTATCTAATATGTCGGTAAGAAAAGCATCATACCTAAGAGAAAGAGAAAAAGCATTAACGAAATATAATACCTGCTTGCAGAGTAATTATTTATTCATAATTTAGTTACTATTTAATTAAAAATAATACGAATAACCGATAAAAAGCAATTATTAACAGCCCGTATATCATAATTCTTGATAAAGAGAATTTTCATTATCATTTACATTTTCAGGTATCTAATACAACAATTGGGTTGGGATCACGATAAAGCTTTTCAAGGTAAAATATTGATAAGATAAATTTTTATTTTTTATTTTATATTATCATCATAATCATAATATATATATATATATATATATATATATATATATATAT